TTTCTAAGGTTTCTTTCTCCAAAAACTAAGACCGGCCCCCGACCAGAAAAAGGAAACAGTTTGGGGACCCCTGATTTAAACCATCTGCATGTTGTGAAGAAGAACGTAGACGTCACACAGCAGTGCACTGTTTAATGAAGTAATAATGTGCAGCGCTGTTTATAGTTAGATTTTAATGTTGTCTATCAATGAGAGCTAACGGTGTTGTCAGACGGTTACAACAAGATGAAGGGTTCATTGTTTGTTTCTGGATTTACCACATCTGGCTTTTTCTGGTGTAGAATCGACCTGTTTTTCCGTCAACGGTCCTTTACATGTGTTTTGAAGAATTGTTTTTGAAAAGGTTGATTGAAATGTCAAAATTCAAAATACAAGCTTTTCCCCCAGAAATCTTGCTAAGCCCATTGGTTGGGACCTAGGGCAGACATTCATCCAGCAGCCCGTCATCTTTGAGTTGAAAAATGTTTAAAGTTGACAGGAAATTAGAAAATACTACTTGATAATTATGCCCTATTAAAAGATTGGGAGATTCATACCTGAACACCAACTATTAAGTCTCAAAAAATTTAATCATTTTTAAAAGACTAAATAAACAATGCTTAGCCTGGTGGGGGCACAAGTAAAGCCTGGTGGCCCGCCAGGCTTATAATACAGTAGGGGAAATGCTGAAATAACTTCCTCAATTTTGCAAAAAGTTTATACCCCTGCTTGAGGTGTACTTTTGGTTTTCTGAAAAAGAGTTTATGTGCTAAAGGGGAGATGGAAACGTATTTGTCCTGATTTCACTGGTGGGTCTGTGCCGAACCAGAGGCACAGAATTTCTCAATCTAAAACTCCATGAGTGGAAGACTCTCTATTTTTTTTCCAGATGTGTGGTTTAATTTAGTTTGCAACCTCTACATCCTGGTTATTACAGTCTTAAATGGCGTCAACATCTGACAAAATTGTGCTGGTTGATTAACTCCAAACATGGCTAATTCACATTTTCTTTATTGCAACATTTGGAAAGTTCACTCAAAATTTGCAGGAGGATTTAATGGAAACAAAGCTGCAGTCAATGACGCAAAAGTCTGAAATTCAACATGACCCATTCTGTCTGCAAACGGTTTGAAAACTAACTGATATGAATCTGATTTAGTTTCACAAATGAAAGTGGCACAAACTGGATTCTTTTGGAGGGTGAAAAGATAAAAATCAGGCCATTCAGGCTGCCCTGAAAAAGTCGGATATGGATCTGCAGAGGATGTTTGACACCGTCTAAATAGATGACTAGCCAACCTGACATATCAATAAAAAAGGACATGCAATGTTCAGAGAGAGGAGAGCTTTTATCCTTCAGTCCTCTAAACATGCCATCCTTGTTTAGTCTTCCAAGTCCCACTTAACATGCTAACTTTTGTTCTAGTTCTGTAAGTCTGTATCAAAGCCAGTGGAGCACTGATGGAAAATAGTTTTTTTTCTTTTGGACTTTTTCTTCACCGATTTTGTTTGGGAAAAGAAGCGTGTTCCTTCCAGAGCCAGGAACAAGCAGAGCGTCTGCAGTAGCATGAGGAATGGAAACTGCAGTCAGGCTTGGCCTGCGTCCCTGGGAATGAATGGAGGGAACGGAGCGGCGAAGAAGTGGAGCAGCGAGGCAGTGCGTGGGGGGAGGAGGCGGCGCTCATAATGGCACTTCAGAAGCCAGTTAATGTGAAAGTGAAGTGTTGAGAAAAACAACCACAGGAATATAGATTTTGAGTTTTATGACTGAGACCTCGGCCAGCATTTTGTGACCACTATGTTATTAATTTAAAGCCATTGTTATTAATGGTAAAACCTTTTTGTTGAGCACATGATCAGAGTTTAGCTGCAGCGTTGGCTGTTGTGGTCACTTGTGCTGCTTCTTTCAGAGAGCTGACTCAGTCGACCCAGCTCCAACAACAAAACAAGAAAAGAATGACTTTTGATCCACTTAAAAGAAGCCGAGGAATTCAGCTGTGGGTTTTCTGTGGGTGTGGATGCAGAGAGTTGGCATGTCGAGGCCTTACTGTGGGAGAAAGGAACAATGAAGTTGAATTTTATTGTGCTGCCTTGTAATAAAAGCTGTTTTTCCGTGCAGAAGACTTTCTGGCTGCTAACGAGCCTGTTGCAGAAGCTGGGAGCGCATTTGGACTTGATTCTGTTCTGATTATCTGAGTAAACATGTTAAACAATCATTCACTCTCCTACCATGTAATTCAGAAAGCGTTTAGTTAATATTTTAAGTGCATGTGTAAGCAGTTTTTACAGAACCTGTTTTCTGTTAAACAGTCAAAAACTCTCTGTTTCAAAGAACACAAGCAGCTATGAATAAGTGTGACTTTTTTGCAACCTTTTCATGGAGCAGTGTTGTTTTTTTCTCTACCATGAAGCAGAGAGTGTCCAGTTTTTAGCAGCAGCCTGCTAACAGACTTCGCCGCCCTGCAGACTGACTGGATTCATTGTTATTGTTCACACATCCTTGCTGACTCAAAGGCCTGCTTGTGTTTCACGATAGAGCCGGTGCCTTTAATGAAACAGTAATAAATTGTTTCATTGTGGACCTGAGCTCAGTCAGAACTGCTGAGGTTCTGCTGTCTGGACTTTTCTTGGATCTCCCCGTTCTCGCTCCGTTCTATTTAAGAGCTTCAACACCACCTGTGTAATCACCCCACCCTATCAAATTGCACCCCTCCTAGCTTGTTATGAGTGTTCGGCCTGTAAATGTAGATTGCCTCCATAGGGGGGTTGAATTTTAGGGGGCAGTTAGGAGCAAAGTTAAGTGAAAGCATATGGTGCCAGTAAGCTCTTACTGGTTAGGAAAAGTCTTTGTGGCTCTGCTGGATTCTGCTTGAACTCGACTTCCTGAGATTTTGGGGAGATCAGGGGGGAAGCCGGAAAAAACAGAGCGACGGCATGGAAACTGGGAGTCTTTAAGGACTGGGTGGTGGGGGGTGTTATTCTTTGTTTATAAATGACTCCACTGGGACACGTCCAGCTCAAAGGTGACTTAACCTTCTGTCCCCATGTGCTGACTGTGATGCTTAGTCTCCATTTTTACGTTATGCAGAAATAATTTGACAGGAAGAAAACAAAATAACTGTCTTCAAAGGTTCTCATAAAAATGCCTTTTATCATCTTAATCTATTAAATAAAATACGTTTAGAGAGTATTTAAGAAATAATTATCTTCAGTAAATCACATAGGACCAAATAAATAAGCACCAAGACGTAGTCTTCCATTTTGGATGCAGTTTGTTCACCAACAATGGAAAATAATACAATTTACAAGCAGCTGTAGTTTCTAGAACAGGCACAGAGAGGATTAAGGGATAGATTCAAGTCTCATGAACAATCTTTATCTATCCGGTTTGTAAGCTTCAGACCTCACATCCCACAGTAATCTGCTGCAAGCTCATATTGTCCTGTGAAAAGGTGCAATTGATTTATTAGCCATCCATGAAGTGTGGGTGTTTAATGGTTTGTAGGAAGCTGTTTGTTTTGGCTCCAGTTTCATATTATGCCTCGTTTCCACTGAGTGTTACAGTATGGATCAGTCCGAGTCACTACAGCGTTTTCAGGAGAGCGTTTCCACCTACAGCTGGGCTTTGACTGGACAGTTACGGTTAGACCTGAATGCCTAATATGGCGTCATACTAATGATGTACTGTCTTGTGCTTCTTGTAAGCAGGGACATTTTCTCTGACCCCCAATCAGTGGACTGTGTTGTGTGACGTCAGTAGCTCCATGCTAACCATATTATTGTCCAATGACCTGCAACTTAAGGTGGCTCAGTAATGGTTGAGTACAGATTGCTCTACAATGGAAACAGAAAATGACGTACCACACAAACTCGTGCCGGTCCACTCAGTGGAAACAAGGCCACATTTATGTCTCCAACCAAACTCCGTCTTAAATAAATAAAATAAGCTTAAGTCAGCTCCACCATGTGAAGGTGCCTGTGTCATTACAAAGGCACTTCCTTTTTATCAAGATAAAAGCATTTCCTGTTCTATTCATTAAGAAGTTCAGCATTCTGCTGCACTGAGTTTCATTCATTACATGGTCATTTACAGCACCCATAGGAAGCTGTTCACCACTTTAACTCAATAAGTTAAAGTGTCGGTGTAGATTTAGAAAATGGTTTCCTATTGATGTTAAATGTGGTCCAACATGGAGTGAAGTGATGAAAAATGTTCATGTAGATTCTTAGTCATTGAGGAAGTGAAAAAGTTTGAACAGTGTTAAGTTTTGTCTTTCTAACACCTACGCTCAGCCTCGTCAGTATTTATGTACTGAAACTCACACCTTGAATCATGTGACCAAAACGGCACACACTCTGACACTGTTAGGATGGTCAGGTTAACAACTCTAACAGGTCACTAAATCGACGTTAGAGCCGGAGACTTGTGACCTTATTGACCTCATCAGTGACTACAATGTTCCTGTTTATGATCTCCTATGAGTTTAATTGTTACTGATCGCAACTCATAAGCCTAATACTTTCAAAAGTTAGTTGTTTATAAGATTAAATTATTTAGAACAATAATAAACTGTTTGTGTAAATCAGGCATTAAGAAGCCATGAGTTGGACTGAAACATGACTTGGACTTGAGGAAATAGAAACAATGTGAACAAGTCAAGTCTGTACAACATTAAAACAATATTTAAACATGGTTATATTTGTCTGTGTTGAATGTTTGAATTTAATGACGAATACATTTCCAACGCCACGTTGCATCATGTAGTACAAGGTGATGTTTAAAGATAACATTTTCACCTTTTTAATAAATAAATGTGGAAACTATACACACATGTTCATAAGGTATTTCATTCCTGTTGTAACGCAAATCTAATAATTTATATAACAGTTTTTCTGTATTTCTATTATTGAACTCAACTGTTTTATTGCTGTTCATGGTCTTTGTTCAGAGTTGACATCTCAGGCCAGCAGCATTTGAAGGGTTAAAATTCTGATCATCTTCTTTTGTGGTTTTTATTTAGGAGAGGATGCTGAGCCAGAGCAGCATCGGCGCCAGGAGTCGAGACGTGTTTGGACTCCGGTGTTTACCAGGTGGGACCTCTCATAGATTTAAATACAAGAAGATGCAAGAGAATGATTTATTTGGTTAACTTTACATCCACACAGCAACATATTGGATGATATCATCAGTTGTTGTCAAGCTCTGCTAATCCAGCTCATTTGCTTTTGCGGCTTTTCTTTAACTCTCAGTGTCCTCATGATTCTCCCATTGGGGTGGATGGAAGAGATGGTTGGAACTTCCTCATCCTCTCTTTGCATCCATGAAGCCTCCTTTTCAACTCCTCTGGGATTTGAGATGCTAATCAGCTGCTCCTAATTGTAAAAACAATGCCTTGTTGCCGTGGTTACTCATACCTTAGGGAACATTTTCTTGCTCCTTTCAAGGCAGAAGATAAAGAAAGTTTAAACGCAGAAACAACAACACTGGCAAAACAGTAAAAGGTCTGTGTACAAATATCAATAAAACAGTCTGAATGACAAAATCAAACCTGATTACTTGATTAATCAATGCTTTAGCAAAAAAGTGATGAAGAAAAGTCTACAAAAAGAAGCACTATTTTGCTTTAGCACCTATTCTGTTGTTAGATTTGAATGTTTTTCTGTTAAATATTGACGTTCTTGGCCTCCTCTTATTTTTCCTGTCCTGGCATCAACCTTTCTTTCTCCTCTCTCGTAAAACCCTCTGACTGTTCTGTCTTTCTCCATTTCTTCTTCACCTTCATTCCACCTGGAGTAAAAGTATAGCTGTCCTCGAAGAGAAGGGCAAATGATAAATGTCATATATAATTTATTTTCTGATCCTTGCCATGACCTGGTTTGACTTCCCTCAGAGCTAAAGCTGCATGTAAATGCTGCCGTTTCTGATTCAGGTAGAGGAGTCCATCTTTTAAATGTTACCTTGCACGCTCCCTCCTGTCTAAGTGTTGAGGTCGTTTGTAAGGGCAAGTTCTCTTTCAGACACAGCGGAGTCAGGAGTCATTGTAACTGCACCAAGTGAAAGGGCTTATGTTGCACCTGCAGACTCTTACTTTCTCCCCGTTGGCCCATTCTGCAGCTTCATGCAAACACTTTGCACAAAATTAATATGTGCCATCTCTCCTTGTGCTAAAATATGATGCAACATGTCACTGAAGCATCAATAACATTTTGAAAAGTGTCCTAATGGGTTTTCTTTCATATCAGAGGGAGATTAAAATTAAAGAAAGATGAAAAAATGCTTGCAGAAGCCGTTCTGTTGTGTCAGTAGTTACCAGTATTCTCAGGTGACGGCGGAACACAGGACCTCAGAAACGGAGCTGGCCTGCAGGAGGTCAGACGGGTCAGCGCAGCTCCAGCAGCCGTGGGTAGATCATGTACCGTTTCATTGCTGCTAGTAAAGGAGGAGGGGGTGTACTGTCCATCCGCACACAAAGCCGGGGGCCGAACCCCCTTCAGAGCATCGCCACAATCATTCTCCACTCAGGCTAAAGTTACTGCCTGTCTCTAAAGCTGTCAGTCAGCTGACTGATGAACAACAGAGTGATGATCTTTGGATTCTCTGGTTTCATTTGCCAACTAATTCTTTGTTTTATGTCTAAAGATTGAAGATTTCAAACTGGAGAAACTTGAAGATATCTTTGTTTTGATTTGAAATCTAATCCAGTTGATTTTGGCTTTTTAGACTATTTAGACTACTGTTCTGCAGAAAGTAAATACAGAATAAGTACAGTTTTACTCACTGAGGTTTTCATGTGTCGATTCTTTAATCAGTTTAACTTTTTTCTTCTTGCACCTCAGTAGAAAATCAAAAATGCCTGGGGGAAAAAAATGAAGTGCTTTCTGAGCAATTGATTCTAGTTTTACTCAGATTTGTTTTCTTAAACTGATCATTTAATTCAAAATGTCCTTTTAAATCCCACTGGCATGTAGTGGTTCAAACCAAAATTATTCATGCGTCTGGCAGATTTACCCTCATGTTCTTCTGAGGATGCTGAAGATTGGGGTTATGGCATGGAGGCATTTCTACCAGAAATACACAGCTATGAAAATGATTTGATTTGCTGTAATATCAGTGAATGTTTTTTCCATTTATTATTTAGAAGTTGATTCAGGCAATTTCTTTTAAAGAAAAAGTTAAATGTTAAAGCAAATCAATCTAATAAATTCCAGAGTAATGAATAGTTTTGGATTGCCTGCATCATGTGAATAAATATTATCTTTGTTTAGATTTTTTACTGCTTTTTGTATTCCACTGTGAAACATAAAACTTCATGGATGTAAAAACAAAAACAGAAGTTGGGCTTAAAATTATAAATTTGAAATGGATATGTTCAATGAAAGCATCACTAAATGGCAGTAAATTTGATAATATGATTAAGTGCAGATATGATTTGCAGCTTAAAGATACAAATCACACTTTCTATGTGACTGGTGTCCTAAAGAAGATTACAAACGGGAATCTATCAGTAGCAGCATTTGTGTTTGTGGGACTATTGTGGCAATGCCATGCAGTCACAATAATACAGTTACTTAAAAACAAAAAGTAATAAATTGTTATTACCAACAGAACCACATCATCTGCAGAAAGCAGAGACCAAATCCAGACGCCACCAGAATGGATTACCTCAACACTTTGGACAAAATCTATAAATTCTGTCCATGAAGGTTATGAACAGAAGTTTAAGAGTAACTTTCCCAATAATAAAATACATTTATGGAAAGCAGAGTGTATTATGAGATTTTGTTGTTTTAATTGGTGAGTAAATGTGGAGCAGCTCAGTGTTGGAACAGCAAGGGCTTGTTATGCAATTGGAGCGCTACAGGAAGGCCGTAAAAAAGCCTTTATTGGATTAAAGGGCGACATAAACACCTTCACCTGTCCTGCTGAGTCACGCTGGAATGAATCAAAGTTTGTAGTCTAATCTTAACTTGAGACACCATGTTCCCTGTGTTTGCTTCACCTTTAAAGTGTGTAGCCTGGAGGAGTGTTTCCAGATCCGTCACTCCCTGAGGAGACTTTAAAAAGAACCACACACTGCAAACCCTCCGTGCTCAGACGCTGCAATCTCTGCTGCTGGATCCAATCCGGGGTGGTTTTAAAGCTTAATTACAGTTTATGCTGCTTGATTTAAACTTCTCTTGTGCAATCAGAAAAATGATGGAGGGTAAAAAGTGATTTTCAGCAGCAGAAGGAAGTGTAATATCTGTAAAAATGGCAGTTTCCTGTTTACGTGTTGGTTTCCTCCTGAAAGAAAGACTGGGCCGAGCCCAAGACTGAAAGGCTGTCCCAGTTCCTTTTCACATAGGCACCAAAGGAATTTAGTTCCTCCTCAGGAGGCTTATTGTGACAGCAGCCTCTCCTCTGCTGATCTTTTCAGTGAAACTGAAGCGTTTTCTTGACGGTTTTCTCCCAGTCCTGGTCTCTGTTGCCATGGAAGCTCTGAGTCTTCCTGGCAGGGATTTAATATTCCTGGGGGAGGCTTGGAAATGTGCTGCCTCACTACTGTGTGTTTGCTAAACTGCTTTCTTTTTCTTTCTTTTACGATCATGTTTACACACATCTGTGTTTGAGTTCTGGAATTTCAGCTACGCCTTCATCTTTTACGAACGCTGCAGATTTACAAACCCTCCATGTTTGTTTCTAAGTGAGATTGTTGACTCACATTTGTCGATCTCACTATAGTAACTTGGTGTGATGTGTGGAAGACATCTGATGGTGTGCGTACAGCGCGCTGTGCTCATCGGAGAGACAATCTGGAACAATGCGAGGACATACCTTTAGATGGGAGGATGTTGTTCCACCCACTCCCAGCTGCTTACTCCTTTCAGTTCCTGTTGTTGCTCCTCTCTGAAGCCGACGTGTTGTTGGAAAGTTTGTTGAATTTCAGCAGATGGTCTGTGTGTCTCCCAGGTGAATGTGTCCTCCAGAGGACGGTCATGGTGAGGAAGAAGCTGACTGCCAGGGAAGGCAGAGGATGGCTCTCTGGTACCCTCTTCTGCACCCACTTCAGAGTGGCGTTTGTTCCCCAGGACAGTCCCAAAGCTGATGTGAGTCTTCACCTAACTGACCCGTAAAAATGGAGTTGTGGCAAGAAAAAAGAGCCACCAGTTTTCAGCGTGGATACATTCAGGAAGTTATGAAAAAAGATTATCCCTGATATGAAGAAGACTTGTACGTATTAAATTTTTTCTTTGATAAATGGTGGAATACTCTATCAAAGTCGACCAAGAGTCAGACAGCAATCCTTTATTACTTCGTCCGTACAAGATAAAAAGCTATTTGTCCCAAAAAAAAGTCCTCAGTAATGGCCTTAGATAAGCAGCTGTTGCTACCCATCGATCTGGAGTTGACGTCCCAGCAGATTCATCCCAGGGTCAGACAAATGCCAACAACTCAAAACCTCAGTGTGCCTGTTAAAGGGACAGTATTGTGTATATTCCAGGCACACAGTGCCATTTTAAAGCACAATAAAGAAACAACATCAGTTGTTATAAAAATACAGAATATATCAAATGTGACTTAAAAATGTCTTTGGTTCTGGTTCTGGAGCTGCAGAGCAGAACAAAACTAGAAGACCTGAGTGGTCTGGAAGGTTGGTACAACAGTAGATCTTTAATGTATTTCAGTGATGTATAAACTAGCAGAAGTATTTTAAAGTCTATTCTTTGAGCTCCAGTGAGCCGTTGTAAGGACTTTAGAACTGGGTGATGTTCTCCATCCCCCTGGTTTTAGTGAGAACGCCAGCAGCAGCGTTCTGGATCATCTGCAGCTGGAGGATTGATTTTTTTCAGGCAGACCTGTGAAGATGCTGTTGCAGTAATGAATGTAACTACAGTTAAACACATGGATGAGATTCACTGAGACGCCGGTCCTTTAATCCTGGAAATGTTCTTCAGGTGATGGAAGACTGATTTTATAACTATCTTTGTGTGTCTCTGAAGGTTCAGGTCTGAGTCCACCACTATATCAATAACGTTATAACAATTAATTATTGGTGCTAAGTGCCAAGTCGTCCATTCATGATGTCTTTAAACCCGGAGGGATGGTTGACTTTTCCTTTTTTAAAAACAATCTAAAAGCCAACATACTGAGAGTAAATATCTTAGCAACCCGTTAAGACGCACCAACCATCTACATCTGGCTTCCTGTGTGATTTCTGATGCAGGACAACGCAGATCCGATCCTCCTGGGAGATCATGACATAGCTCTGGCATCTATAGAGAAAGTGGTGGCCGGTGAGTAACACCTCAAACCCACTCTGTGGTACCGCTCACTGTCACCTGCTTTTAGCATCTGCTGCCAGGCTGCAGCGCTGGTTGTGTTTTATAGTAGGTATGGTGATGAATCTCTATTAGCTTATCTCTGCTTTACTTAATTTAACGCTTAACAGTTTTGTTGTCCTGCTTTGCATTTCAGTCGGACCAAACAGAACCAAGCTGGTGACCCCGAACTCGTCCCTGAAGTTCACTCCAGAGGAGTTGGTGCTCTACTGTCGGGACATGAGAGTCATGTGCTTCCTGTTTGACCGCCTGACCCCCGATGCGCAGGTCATAGAGGTGTGTCCTGATCTCATTGGTTTATGACAGCAACAATACACACACTGGGACATGACACACATTCTGCATGGCCAGAGTCTCATCAGAATCAAAGAGTTGATGTTTACATCACATTTAATATCTGACCCAATATTAATATCTGTATTGGTCCGGATATCGAAAAAAAATTCTAGACCAGGTATCAGTGACAATGTGCCCAATCCATAAGGGCAGATCTATGCAGTGTAACTCTATGCTTTCTGCTCTGAGTGACGTCATACCTTATTTTTGCATTATATTTAGAATTCCTAATTGCACGTCCTGAACCATTTTAAAGAAGGTTTGCTGCAGTTTATTTTTTGCATATTTGACCGAGGTAGTGAACCTGTTGTTTTTGTCAGTTTCAGCTTTAGAAACATTTAAAGTGAATTGTTTTTTCTGCATCGGCCGATACTAAACCTCAGATATTGGTATTGGAAGTGTAAAAAGTGGATTGATGCATTCCTGATCTTTTACTTTTTACTATTCAGCACTGATAAGTCAATATTTTTGGTGTTTTCTAGAACAGTTTCATAGCCCAGCCTCTTCCTGTTTGTGCACCAGATTGAAAGCTCAGGTTTCTTACCACCCTGTACATCAGCCATATCAAGCAGCTCATCAGTGTTGTAGCCCCTCTGATTTGCCTCAGGTCTTCCTGCTGTAAGTTGACGACCTTTTGTCCTCCTGACCTCTTGGTTCCCCTCCTCAGATAACTTACACCATTGCCAAGACCTACCAGCCTCTCAAACCCGGCTCCGTTTTAGCCTTCCAGAACGCTGCCCTGGGGAGTGTAGGTGAGTGGTTTACTGCCCGCAACCGCTCCAGGTCCTTCCTGGAACCAGTCCTGTCCATTTACAGCTCAAGGATGAATGTATTGATGAGTAATATGTTATATTCATTTTGGTCTTTTTAATAATTCATTTGAGCTTCTGGGGTGCACAACTACAGAGAAAAACAAGAAACATCTGGGTCCACAAGTGGGAATTTAATTGGATTTTCTTTCTTTAATCCACACACAGTTAAAGTTCACAGTTAAAGATATACCAATAGGTTCAAAAGTATTCATGCAGCCCCCCCTAATACGTGCATAAATATCCCTTTTGCATTCTTTTTGCAGCCATTTTGGTGTAACTGCTTGCATATTTGATCATTCAGCTTGGTAGAAATTACACAAATTATTTGGCTTCATGGCATCGATCTCCAAAACGTTTAATAATGTTGAGGTTGGAGCTTTGAATAGATCTATTTTTTATCTATTCCTGACTCGTATCATGCATGTATCCTTAAAGAGTCATCATGAATAGTGATGCTGTAGGCAGGAATATTTTCTGTTTCTGTTTTTGAAGATTTAATTTTTAGAACATTTGAATCTTCACCATTGCACTCTTTGGGTTTCCATAGTTCAGAGTGCTGCTAGCCCAGCCAACAAACACCATCTTGTTTGACAATTGTGTTTTACATCTTCTTTTTATTTTGACTTTGAATCCAAGACAACTCATAGAACAAATTATTAAAATAAAATGCATTTTTTTAAAAACATATTTTCAGTCATTATAATTGTTTAAATCAAATTTGGTATAATTTTTAAGCCATATCACACAGCCCCATTTTGTTGCCGTGGCTACACATCATCACAGCTGTCTAAATAGCTCAATGTTTGTCATGTGACTACAGACTTTGACTTCCTGGTTGAGCGTGAAGGTACTGATTTTTGAGTACGTTTCTCCTTTATCTTTTCTTTTATGGTTTTTCCCTTACATCCACATTTGAGCTTAAATCTGTAACCATGCGTATTGAAATTCAGTTAACAAAATAATAAACCATGTGTTTGTTCCATTTCAACGTCTCATTCGGTCTCTAAGAAGCATTTTATAGTTTTCTCACGTTGGGTCTAAAGACAGAATGTACAAAAATCTGTGATCGCGGTTCGTCATCCGTCTGTGTGTCATTCCCACCATCTGCAGCACCGTCTGAATGCGATGCTGCAACTCTCCAACTTGTGGAGAATGTAAGATTGGAAACATCAGGAAATCTGTGCAGACCATAATAACACACAAAGCTCACATCGTCTCAAGTTGCAGATATTGGAAACGTTCTCTTAGGTGGCGGGACAATGAAAACATTGGCTTTGAAACCGTAACCATGTGGGGATCTGTTGAAACTGACATCGATTTGAAGATTAAACCAACATAACTAAATATATAATCAAGCTACCAAAGAGCAGGGGTTATTTTAATATAGACCTCAGAAGTTTGTTGCAGTTAAAAACATTTTTAAACACGCTGCTGAGTGCAGCCACATATGGAAACATGAGCCCCTCTGTGCTGTATATCAGGGTATGCTAAAGCTACGCTACGCTGGCCGCTCTGGCTGACTGTCAGCTCTTGGATTAATAATGCAAGCCCCCTTCAGCAGCAAGTAGTTAAATGACCTGGAGTTCAACTCTGCCCTAAAGGGTCAAGTGTGTCCGTTCTGAGTCTGCTACAATATTCAAGAAACATTAAATGGTGGTCTGACATTGAGAAAGTAATATTTGAACAGTTTGATTCCTCCTCATTTTACTGAATAACCCAAATAGTTTGTGGCACATTTCATTGCAACACTTTTGTATCAGGAGGATTTGATGTCCTGTCAATGACTCAGAACAAGCCCAAATCATCAGCCAGCCTCCACCGTGCCGATGTGCTGTTTGGGTTCCTCCAAAACGGTGCTGTGCATCACGGCCAAACTTCAGTCTAATGTGTCCAAAAGACCTTTTTCCTGAAGTCCTGTTGTTCATTCAGATGCAGATTTGTGAATTTAAATCACCGGCAAACTTAAATATTGGTTTTAATATCGGCCCAGTTTTACTTATTGGGTACTGATGTTAATGCTGATATATTCTACATCCCTATGAGGCTTCTGTGTATTTGTGTAAATGTGTGTTTTTTGTTTGTTTGTTTGTTTGTTGGAATGTTTTCTTCTAGGAAGATTAAAAATCTTTTGTAAATAATATTTTTCTCAGTAGAGATTCTTTAATTAGTTCCTCCTTTAAAGCAGAACTAAGCCCCAAATCAACTTCTTTTTTTTCCTTTGGAGAAATTATCTAAGTTGAACCATGGGGGAGTTTTTTATGTTTCTGCGCAATTTTGACATTTTCGCGTAAATTTGTTTAGTTCTTCAGTATTTAACATAAAAGCATTTCAGTGCTGCCCTCTGTGGGTGGATCCGTGGCTGCTGCAGTTAAATGTTTCTATTGGTGAGCTACAAAGCTCTGGATTCTGGTATAAAACTAACTCACTCAGATACGCCCCCCGGTGGCGAGTCAGAAGCTGGAACAGCGATTGTGACGATCATTGATGCATTAGCACTGAATTATAAACTTTGAATTTAAATTATGAAAAAAGGCCCTCGTATAACAAGTAATATTTTAATTAATGTAAATTTATATTTTACACTTTGTTGATGTACGTTTTAAGAATAATCCAGAAGTATTTCTTGAGTGCTGGAACAGATCGTTCAGTAACGATCCCTGCACTTAGCCACGCCCCTCAGCGGCTCTTGGCTCCGCCCACGCTGGCGTTTATCAAAATGTGGCCGGGGGCGGGGCACTTTTTGAGCTCATTGCTGCAAAGTCATAGTTGTTGCCTTTCTTATTGTGTCAACTCACTCAGTAAACTCCTGAAATCCCTTTTTATTATGAAATAAGCCAAATTTTACACAGAAACTCCAGAAATGTAAAGTTGTGTACTTTCTTATCACAGCTGTATAAAACTGAGAAACAGCAAATGGTGGTGTAATCTAATTTAAATACTATATCTGCTCTCCTCTTCAAAGTGTCACAGATGATATCTGAATAAAAAATCCAAACCTTGTGTTCGAATTGCTTTTCCTCTTCCAGAAATGAAGCAGTTCCTAAGCAACCGCCGCCGAGACTCCCACATGAACTGGTTTGAATCCGCCTCGGACTGGGAGCAGGAGCTGGAGCGCTGCGGCGCCACGAGCTGGAGGGTCAGCTCCGTCAACGACCGCTTCGAAATGTCGAACAGGTAAAACCTCAGGCTGTGCAAACGGGCTGAACACAGTGAAAACGAAGAGACAGACAGACAGGCGGCGCCTCAGGCTCTGCTGATGCGTCCTCTGATGTGTTTTTAACATGAAACAACTAAAGCCGTTCTTTCTGCTTCCTGACAGCCTGTCGAAGTTCATCGTCGTTCCTCAGAAGGTTTTGGACACAGAGCTGAAGAAGAGTTTTGCCCACTTCAACGAAGGACGGATACCTGTAGGCTTCAGAAACACCCTTTGATTCACAACGTCGCTTCTGAACATGTTGTGTTTTTAAAGTTGTGATGTGTTGAAGTGGTTTGCTGATGTTTCAGCTTCTCGTTGACATTCTTTCAGGATGAATTAATTTTAATTTAGTTGTTTTTGTGGAATGTGTAACGCGGCAGGGTGACGCTCTGGTTTTGGTTTGTTGCAGCGCTGGTGCTGGAGGCATCCCAGAGGCAGCGACCTGCTGCGCATGTCCAGCTTCCAGAACAACATCTACCACGAGAAAGATGACATCAGGTCTGGGAACGCAGCGGCATCTGTTTAATCAGGACTGTTTGATCTCAATAAACTCTGAGGTTTAGGTTGGGTGACGTTTAGGTTTTAGTCTCTTGTCTTGGTTTAAATATCTACTCTGAAAAATAGAATGGAGCTCCAACTTAAAAATATTGAGTCGGTTCATTATAAGTAATCAAATTAAGGTTGTCCAGCTCACTTTATTTACGATTGTTTAACATGACAATAAACTTAGTATATTTACTTGGATAAACTTAATTTGATTAGTTGAAACAAATGAACACAATTCTTTTTAAGCTGGATCACCTGTTTTTTATGTGTATTAAAAGTCTAAAAATGGCTGTTTAGCCTCCAGGAAACCAATTCATTCAGTTAAGATGAGTGTTTATGTTCTGAGCAACCATTTAAATCAAAGCACAAGCTTTTATTTCAGCTAAATAAGCTATCAAATCAAATAAATATCTGATAATTTGAATTGTCTGTAACAACCACGTTCCTTTTGCTAAAAGCTATCAACTTTTTATAACTTATTACACAACAATATTTAAAATGGTAGACGTTGCTTTATCTACTGATGATACTGTCAAACATGAAAATGAAATGGAAAATCGCCTCACCACAGATTACAGCTTCTTTAATTTAGTTTTTTTAAAGTCTTTTAGCTGATCTCTATCTTCCTTTCTGTCGGTTGTGCTGTGCAGGTTTACTGCTGACTGTCGTCTTTTTACTCTGCAGCTGGAGTTTATTTTTGTCACTGTGTTGAGAAGAAGCTCAGATAAGTTTTATCGCTCCCTGAACAGGAAACACATTGGAACAGCTGAAAGCCACAAGCTACTTATTAAAGCTGCAGATTAAAAGCTGCTTAGAGTCACAGCAGCAGAATCTAGTTTTGACGCGCACTTCTTACTTCCCTATTTATGAACAACTTCCTGCTGTGACTGGAGACACCACAGAAGAAGAAATTATACAGAATTTTAAAAAATCATTACTTATAAGCCAGGTGACAAAAAACTGAGTCCACCTCATGATTGCAGAACCACTTTAACCCACGATAGCTCTGATTAGCCTTCTTCTGTGTGACGTTGAGCTTTTCTCGTCATTTTGCTGGTATTTTGGCCCTAATGTTCAATCTGGCATTGCTTCAGGTCAGCAACGTTTCCAGATATTAGTTTCTGCCCAGCTTTTCGGTCAAATTTAGGTCATTGATTTATTTTTTTTTTCAAGGATTCTGCCATGTTTGGTGTCGTTGTCAGCTGACCTCAGATTTGAGGAAACTTAAACTTACTTTTATAAAAAGAAATTTTCTCCTCCAATACTTAAGCTTTTTCTTCTGTCCTGTCACTAACTTTAACATTTATGTTCATTATGTCTAAAATCTTAGAATTTACAGAGGGTGTACTTTCTTTATTTCTCTTGTAACACACCAAAGGTGAGCTGGTTGTAAAGTAACCCGGTGTGGCGTTGTGCTCTGCAGGAACCTGGAGATGGTTCTGTTTGGCTGTCAGTCGTCTCTGTGCGTGGTGGTGGAGCTGGGCGACGAGCTGCCGTCACCCGCCGACATCCAGCTGGCCCACAGCCGCCTGCGGGCCCTTTGTCTGGGAGGTGGGCTCAGACACACACACTCACATCCACACACACACACACACACACACTCACATCCACACACACGCCATCTTTGTGGTGACTTTCCATTGATCTACATTCATTTCTACAGCATCAGAACTCAATTCACACCTTAGTCCTAAACCTGACCCATAAGCCAAAAACACCATTTGTCCCCACAACGTAATATGTGTCAGGAAAGTTGTCCCCATAAGGTATTAAATACATGTTACACCTGAACCAACATGTGTTCAGATGGCGCAGAAAACCAAGTGTTCATATCTGCCATAAATCTGTGTGATGGAAGTGAATCTATTTTCCAAAGCTCTTACATTTCAGGACGATTTCCATAAAACTGATAAAACTAGAAGGTTCCTCAGTTATATTTACAACATAAATCTAAGTTTTTTTGGTTTATTTTAATGTAAAAGAGTAAAATAAATTCTACACAAACTACACGAGTTCACTTCTGTGATTCAAACCGAACAGGTGGGTGTCATTAGCTTGTTGAACTATGTTCTACCACATGTTGGCGTTCATACACAGCGAGTAACAATATATTGAAAGTTAGTTCTGTGTTAGCATTAGCTTCTGCTTAATACCATGTTGGTACATCACTTCACTGTTGGTGAAACTGTCTATGGTTAGCTCTATAGGGTTAGCGCAGCTAACCTGTTAGTTAGCGGTACATTGCTAATGACGTTATTGGAAGTAACTTTATTAAGTTAAGAAAAAACCGTTTGAATATCGCTTTAATTTGCATTTCTGAAACAAATTTCCAGTTATGCAAATTACGTTATCCCGAAAAGTTCATCCAGATACCAGAAAATAAAGTCAAATAGACCTTTCCCTTTACCTTCTTTAGCAGATATGATTTATTGGAGTCATATACAGTAATCTTATCTTCCTGCAGCAGATTAGGAGCACATTTTAGAAAGTAATCGTTGTTAAAGTACATATAAAACGCCCCCAAGAACAGTATGAAAGGAAAAAATGGTTTAAGGCAGAAAGATGATTGAATTTATCTGGTGCAAAAGTGCAAAATGGTCTGTATGACCTTCAACCCTTCGTACAGCTGTTAGATTTGAGTTCACAAGGTGACAGAGTAACAAAGAGCCCAGCAGCATGTTCCACCTCAGCTTCACATGCTCAACTGCCATCCGTACTCTCACAGAAACGGTGTGTGAAGGTCGCTCTTTATCGCAGCTCACACATTTATCAGCTCCGTGTTTTGTCTTGTTTCACAGCGCAGAGCTCTCTGCTGTGGAAAAAAACACCCACACATGAATTCAGTCGGTTACCGGGAGGATTTAGTCCTTCATAATGAAACTAGATGCTCTGATTGGCTCAGCGTCATGTGGGTTTTATTCCTCATATACCTGTTGATGAAATGGGATCAGATCTGAATGTTTTCGTGTGTGTGTAGTTTCTGGGTTCTGAGGTCATGTTTGGGTTTCAGATATCTCCTCGTCTGTGTCGGTGCCTGATGATAAATGGTTATCCACGCTGGAGGGAACACACTGGCTGGACTACATCAGGTAAAACCTCACAGTCTGCAGTTTCTCACACATTCAGCTTCCAGAAGCTTTTTGCTTGTTTGGGTGTCATAATGTTAAAAAACCTACAGCTCCCATAATGCACCAGGCATGCAGCATGACAGCAGTTAATCTTCCAGACGTTCAACTCACCTGCAACACTGTGAAGATATTTGGATGTTTTTCTCCTGGAAGGAAAACCAAACTTTTAGATTCACTTCCAGACCTCTAAGCTTCCTTCCTTTCATCCTTTCATCCTGTCTTCCCTCTTTTCTTCCTTCTCCCTTTTTTCCTCCTTTTCATTGATCAAAATGTTTTTTCTTTCTAGTTCTCCTTTCACCTGTCCATTTCTTCCTTCCTTCTTTCCGTCCTTCCTTCCTTTTGTCAATATTTCCTTCTTCCATCTGCCCTTCCTTCAGTCTTTCTTCTCTCCTTCCTTCTGGTAATATTTCTTTTTTTCTTTCTTTCCTTCCTTCTTCTCCTCTTAAAGTCTGCTGCTGCATCTTATCGCTGCCATTACATTTTGGGAAAATAATATTTAACTATATGTAACTACTGACTGGAACATATGGATGAGAGATATGAGGCAGCCTCTCTATTATTATTATTATTTATAAAAAAAAGCACAGATTTAGTCTTTTTGGTTGTTTCGGTTGAGGTTTACGTTCAGACCAGCAGAACCAGAGGCTGAATATTTCCTGCCAACTGAACGGCTCCAGGGTTCGGTTTTCGCTTCTTAGAGAAGCAGAACCAGACAGAAATCCTCCAGGATCCTCAGAGAGAGTAGCTGCTCAGTCAGCATCGTTTCACTCAAAACTGCAAATATTTCCTTTTTACTCCAACATAAACACTCTGGGGAATGTCGTTCCTTCACCTTTCTCTGTGTGTGTGTGTGTGTGTGTGTGCGCGTGTGTGTGTGTGTCCAGGTCGTGTCTGAGGAAGGCGTCAGAGGTTTCCTGTTTGCTGCGCAGCGGTCACCTGACTGTGGCTCTGCAGGGTGAGTCACATGACGCCGGACCCTGGCTCACATCATTCAGTCCATCCATTCATTATTCACGTCAGTCCTCCTCATTAAAGCCACATTAGGGCTCAGAGTGAAGTAGCGCGTTAGCAGGAACAACCACACTCCACTGGACCTACATGCACAGTTAAAAGCCTCCAAACAAAAGATACGCAGCGACCGCTGCTTCACCTGACAGGTAAATCCACACCACGGCGTCTTACTGCAGACTTTATCATGTGATGTGACTTAGTTTAGCTTCTGAAGGAGACTCTAAACCTATCAGAGTTAATTTAATTTCAGCTTCACTGGTTCAAATAAAAAATCTCTTGTTTAATCACCTTCTGCTGTTAATCAAAATCATTTTTCACGCGTTGATGTGAGAATTATTGTTTTAGCTGCTGATGCTTCCTTTGCTAGAAATAATCAAGCGTTCACTAAAGGAATGCTGTTACTGCATTTTAGGCAATAACATTTTTTATTACTGTTTTAAAAGGGACTTAATTATTTATTTGTATTTCATAAAATAAGTTTAAGTAGTTAAATGAAATATCAGTAGACTGTGCCAATTTATTTTATCCGATTAATCGACAGAATAATCAATTAGTAGAATAATTGTTAGCTGCAGTCTGAATTTAGATTCACAGACTTTACAAACACTGAGCTGCTTGGTCAGAATGGAGAGAAGTGCATTTACATGGATAGACGCTCTGAAAACACTGTGTTAGCTGTTGAGCACGGTGGTGGCTACATCATGATGCGGGGCTGTTTTACTGAACTGATGCATTTCTCAAAATGGATTAAACGATAAAAGAAGAGGACTGCCTCAAATCAACATTTCCTAAAACCTGGATCTGCATCAAACCAACCAGAGCCATTTAATTGAAAGTTCTTCTTAGAAGGTTTTGTTTGTGTTTCATTATAATCCAAAGTGATCAGAGTTGTCAGCTGATGACAGAGTTGGCATGTATCTGTCCTTGGAGCATTTTTTTGCATCTCTGGAGGTTTTTTCTTCTCTGCTTTTGATCACTGCTTGCACTTCACATGCTTTGAAAATGAAGACGTAGAGTGACCATTACGGCTTTGTGAGATCATGTTGGAACTCGTTAGACAAACATGTTTGCTCATTTCTCACCATCTGCTGTGGCAGAACAAAAACACCCTGTGACACAGACGCAGTTTGTCATCCTGCAGACCTGTGATCAGCCGTTTTCCCCCTCTGGTGTTTGTTCCTCTAATGCTCCTTTTTGGAGAAACTGGCTTTAAGCTAAACCTTTATGCGTGCTGTGTTTCAAACCAGAGGTGGAGGACCGGGACATGAGCTGCGTGGTGTCCAGCCTGGTCCAGGTGATGTGCGACCCCCACTATCGGACCCAGCATGGCTTCCAGGGCCTGGTGCAGAAGGAGTGGGTGATGGCCGGCCACCGCTTCTACAGCCGCATCAACTACCACCGAGAGAGCGACAAGGAGGAGGTGAGGCTCCAAAACTGAAAGCAAGTTAGAGATCAGAATGTCCAACATAACCTCAGCTCTCCATATTCCCTCTCCTCTTATGGCGTCTTAGTCCGATCCACTCAGTTTGATTGGGAACCAAAATTGTAATATTTGTTAGATTTTCAGATCCTGCTGTTCTCGTTCAGACAGCAAACCCTTTAAAAAACCTGTTCACGCCCCTCGCCTGCGGGGGCGCTGCTCCAAGAACTACTGAAGGAAATGACTCAAAAACCTCTGAAGAAGACACTGTTTTGGTCCACATCAGAGTTTGATTCACAGAAAACGAAGCGAACCAGATTTGTATTAAAGCAGACTAAACGGGCCTGGTGTGAACGCACCCTGATCCTCTCCCTGTCCTGCAGTCTCCGGTCTTCCTGCTCTTTCTGGACTGCGTCTGGCACCTGTGGTTCCAGTTCCCGTCCCGTTTCCAGCTGACAGATGACTTCCTGTTGGCCCTGCACGACGGCGTCCACCTGCCGCTCTTCTCCACCTTCCTGTCAAACTGCCAGCGGGAGAGATGCAAACGCTCCCAGGTACTGAACACGTGGGACAAACTCCTCCATTCTGCCCAGAACTACGTTTCTGACTCTTTTTTTTAACTCTTGGCAGAATGTCGGCCAGTTGTACACGCCTGTTAACGGCTGGAGGGACATGCTGGGTCCGGACTCTTCCTCTGACACGTCGGACCCACCGCTGCCTCCGGTTTGGGACTGGGCCCTGCAGTACAGTCGGGAGAGGCGGGACGGCTTCGTCCAACCCGTCGCCCCGATGCCGCCGCTCCAGCTGCTGCAGAACGGAAACCTCAACACCAACCTGGACACACACAGGGTAAATGCTCTGAGCACCAACACCTGAACCAGAGCTGCTATATTGTTGTGATAACAATAAAAACAGCAAAACTAGTTTTTTAGGTAACTTTATAACTATGACTACATGACACAGCAAACACAAATCCTGCTCTAGAGAAACATTCCCATCTATAAAGCTCTTCTTTAGGACACCAGGCAAAGAAAGAAATGTGATTTGTGTCACGACACGCATCAAGGTTATTATAGTACAGCCTTTTGAACTAAACAAAATCTACAATAACTAATGAAAACTAAACTATAATAAAAAACCCAAACATTTTACACCCCTACGCTTCACACAGTAACTGCATTTAATCATATTTTCAAATTATTGATATTTTTTTAATCTATGGGTGAGAAAATATAAAAAAAAAAAAACGGTAAAAGTAACAATCCAGACAATTTTTATTTTTTTTAAACATAATAATTTGGAATTTATCATGACGGCGACAAATCAAAATTGTTCTCATTGATAAGAATTTCATCATGATAAATTAATGTTATGATAAATTCCCAGCCCCAGCTGTTGGCAGCAGCACATCCTGTTCTTGAGACCACTGCTCCCTCTAGTGGTGGATGTAAAACAAGCACTGTGCTTCACCGAGCTGCAGCTGAGCTCCACAGCATCGATTTTCACTGAGACACATTAACTGTTTATAAAATGGACCTTGGATTTATATCAACCTTTATTCATTCAACCAGGATCAAAACTCCTGGCAAGTGGCAGAGTAACTACTTATCAGCAACTCTTCAACAACAGTATATTTTTTTAAGTAGGATAAATTTGTTGGTTTATTTATTGTTCACTTTTCTTACCACCATCTGAATGATTTTGATCGACAGGTTTTGTGCTTTTAACCTCCTCTGGTTGAAGCAGGAGAATTTAGTGCCATAACCTCTGATTAATTATTAATTACAGTTATTTTATTGTTTTTTATTGTGACTGACTTTAAAATTATGAGCCCATTTGGACATGAATAAAGATCTGAATCTGAGGAGCAGAATGGACAATAAACTAAAAAAGGAGAAATAAAAAATATTGCTTTTTTATGTGTGACATGTAGTTGATGGAAGATTAGTAATCTGGATGGAATGAAATATTGTTTTGATTTGATTAAATTAATGTCATTTTCTAAGATTAGACTATTAAACATCACCAGAAAAAAAGAATGAAGCAGAATGCATCATGGGTAGTATCTGCAAAGATATATAGCAGTTAATGTATTATGTATCACTGTGTATGTTTTTTTATTATGTGTTTATTATTGTGCTTTAACATCAACCTAACAAAGGGACTAGAGATGGAAATTAGCCCTCTGGCTGTAATCTCATGTACATTTTTATAAATATGTGTTTATCTGTTTTTAACAATGACCTTGAAGTTGAAAATGTAAAGTTTTTATGTTGTCCTGCTCAGAGTTGCTGCTGCTGTTGCTCTTCTCTGTTAAATCTTTGATCTTTCCTGTGTGTTTGTGTCGCGGCCCTCCAGCTGGCCGACGCCGGCCCCGGCTCCGTGTTCCTGCTCTCCCGCGGCGCCTTCACCTGCCCCGCCAACCTGCCGCCCTGGCGCAGTGGCGGCTCGGGCGCCTACAGAAAGAGCCACCGGAGGGCGCTGTCCTGTGAGAACGTGCCTGGCCTGGAGCGGCTGCTGAAGGCGTGGGCCCTGACTGAGCTGCCCCAGAACACGGCCACCGCCTCAGGGTCCAAGGGGCCCCTGGATCCGTACGAGCCGCTGCTGCCCCTCCTGATGGGTCCCTGCATGAGCCTGTGGAGGGAGTGCTACCTGCGGGGGGCGCTGCACGCTCAGGTACGTGGCAGGACTCTGTGAGGAATCCAGCAGATGACGTCGCCTCTTAGAAATGCAGATCAGTCGGACCTGCTGGTCAGTAGCTCCCAGAGCAGAGCGGAGGCTTCGTGGTGCGTCTAACGCCGTTTCCATGGCGATGATAAGAATAGTCCAGGGCCATGTGGGCGGATGCCGTCGCCTACTGCACACAAGCTGCAGAGGGAAGCTATTAAACTGCAGAGGGATCCACTTCATGTTACAGGAAGTGATTATGAAACGTTTTGGAGCCTTTTATAGATTTTCCTGAAGTTATGAGAGGAACACACATCATCAGTGACACAAATAGACTGAATGGTCTGTGTGTGTTAAGTTTAGGTTCTGGATGATTCACAGGATGAAGTGGTTTAATAACATCACTCTGAAAACTCCCAGCTAATCCACTGAAAAGGAGGTAAAGCCTGGAAACGTCTAAACTCTGGTCTAGCACCTTTAGCTCTGATTCAAAAACATAAAAATATGCAACAGGATTTTTTTTTACAAAAGAAGTGATTTTGAAAATGAAGAGATTTGAAAATCATTCTCATTTATCCATTAAATCCATAAAATCCATGACTTCCTTTTTGTTTGTTTCGTTTTTCTTTCTGAACAGAAATTTTTTCCCTAGAACCTGTAAAGTTCTGTTTTCAGTCTGAGTAAAATAATTTTTATATTTAAATCTCACAGAGATAAAAAAGAAAAGGAACTTTTCACTTTTTTAGAGGTTGAGCTCTATAAGATAAAATAAATTTCATAAATTTTCAAAGGTTCTTTGTTTATTGCCAACCAAATTTTAAAAATTTTTTTATTTGTCTTGATTGGAGCAAACCGAACCACGATGCTCCTGAACTGCTTACTAATAATTAGCAAGAGAAGCTAATAATGTAATCTGCTAATGCTGCAGGCGTCTGACGTTTTCCTTTATCAGGGTGAAATCAGTCATTGTCTTTGTTGGGTTTGCAATGAAAAAAGCCTGGTGGGTGTGAAAAGCTGCTCTGACTGTCTGCTGGTGCTACACACTGTTATTTTTATCCAGCTGCACTGATGCATGCAGCATTTCTAAATAAATATGGGAGCCGTGGTAATTAATATGGCCTGTGTGGTGAGGGTGAAGAATTTAAAGCAGCCGTTTCAGGCCTGAAATGATAAACTCAGATCTCTGCAGTGAATCGACTATTGGAGCTCCTCAGTGATCTTAATCTAAACTAATATTTTAGTTTTTTCACCCTGGATTTAATGCAGATTATTTTTGTTGCTGTTCTTTGCAGAATCAAACCAATCTCAGTGTTTTATCCCATTTTTTTGTGTCAAACCAACAACAAGCAGAGCATAAATGTCAAAAGGAGGAACAAATTACACGTAATAATCTAAAATATGATGTGCATTAGTATTCAGTTCTATGCTGGAACCTTTTTATTCACGTTTCTGGTGCACACATAAATCTGACACACAAGCTACATCTGCTAATAGCAGCGATGAACAAAGCTGCTTCTCTGAGCCCTCTGGGGGTTAATGTCTGCTTCAGAAAATGATCTGATGGGTGCTGGGAAAGCTAAAAGGAGCTAGCTTAACGGCAAAGCTTTTGCAGCCTAAAATAGCAGCAGGACAGACGACCCCAATGCTAACGTCAGTGTCCACAGTTCATTTATAATAAAGTTCCATGAATGATCAGCGGTTCACAGGAAAACTGAACTTTGCACCAATCTGATGGTTGAATAATTTAAAAAACAAATTAAAAACAGTAAATATCTTTGCTGTTGAGCTCACATATCTGTAATTTAGCTGCAAAATGTGTTTTTGAATTGAAAATGTTATCAATGTATGGTTTTCGATTAAAATGCTATTAGTTTATTACAGATCCTGTAATAAATTGGTTTTATTTCGGGGTATCGGGACGAACTGACCCTCTCTCTGTTCTCAGGCCTTCTCCCACCCGGTGTCGGCCAACCGGCCCCACCCGGTGGACCGTCTGGCCCAGGAGGTGCAGCAGCTCCGGGACCAGCTGACCCAGCTCTCCCCCCGCGCTGCTCCCGACTCGCTCACCATGACCTCCGACCCCCGGCGACCCGACACCAACCTGAACCAGAGCACCAACAACAGCACCTTCCTTTACTCGGCGCTCCGGCCCAAATCCACCCCCCCGCCTACCTCCACCAACCAGCACACCTCCAGGGGCCCCCCCTCCGCCTCAGCGCCGCCCCCCAGGCCCACCAGGGACGGCCCCAAACACTCCTTCCTGTTCGGACACTCGGCGGTAGCAGAAACGCGGTCGGACCCTCGCTACCATCCGCCGCCCGGCGCCACCAAGCTGCCTAAAAGCAACGGCTCGTCGCTCACTTCCTGAGGTCCAGGACCCTGTGAAACCAGTATGAGGCCCATGTGGTCCCATTATGGGTGACAACGGGCCTGGAAGAAGAACTCTGCTCTGTGCTGTACAGACAAACATCCATTTTCTACTTTTTCTTTAAAATGAAATCAGACTCAACAGAAATGCAAAAAAAGACCAAGAAAGGAAGCCGAGGAACGGCCGGCGGTTTATCTTCAAAGTGACTCGGTTCTGTTCCCACACTGCTCAGATGAACTGGGAGGCTGCTGGACCGGACCGGACCTGTTCAGTACTGTCAACCTCTACGCTGTGTGATTACTCAATATGCAAACAGATTTGTTTCTGTCGACGGTTTCTGAAAGCCGCCGGTGCTTCAACCTCCGGCTTCAATGAGGAATTTAGGACATGAGATCTATTTTTGGTCTCGTATCCCTCCGCCGCTGCAGCAACGGGGCCTACTTTCACTCCACAGTATTAAATGTGTCTGCAGGCACAGCTCGGACCGTCTCACAGCCAGAAGAGTCCGATTTAGCTTCTCTTGTCGCATCATGTTGTAGAAATCTGCCTCCAGAACTTTTTCGTTTTTCTAAAACTGAAGTCTGAATTTTTATATTTAAATTGCGTCCTTTATCTTTCATTTGCCACAATTCATCTTGATCACTTTACTGCTATTTTTTGCAAGTATTTTCTGGTTTTGAGTTCCAACCTGGTTCATTCTAGGTTTCATACATCAACATTACATCAGATGGTAAAAAAAGCAGTGAAATATCCCTTTAAGACATCTGAGTCAGCTGCCTCGCTCATCCAGATAAAACTAGATGATTGCACAAGTATTTGGAGGCTAATCTTGTAAATTTGTCTGGAAAATTATGGAACTTCATACTAAAAGATGTTGGTTATATAGTTCTGAGTGTTAATTCGCAATTCTAGTTGTAACATGTGGAAAGGAGTCATTTCTGATCAGGTTAGTGTTTTTCTAATAGGAGGCCAGTATTGGGAGCAAAGGGAAGCTTTGTTTACATTTTAATTTTTCTGCTTGTTTCAATTTGAAGTCGGAAACGTTCCACTAATAACAAAAAAAAAAAAGTTCCTTAATTTGTAAGCAGGATAACAGCCATCAGTCCTGATCTCCTGCCGGACGGTACCTCAGTTAATTACTGTAAATATTCAACACAGAAGCACTCAGCTTGCCAACCTGTTCGTCTTCCCTAGAAACACGTTGCTCCTGTCATGGAAAGTTTCACCCCTGCTGCTGTTTTCATCTGTTATTTAAAGTTTTTGGTACGGACGTTGTTTAAAATTTGCCAGATGTAAATATTATTTTTGGTTTTTTGTACCAGCATGTTTTGCTTGTGATGAACAAAGTGTTTCTCATTTCTGCTCATGAAAACATGAATTTCCCCGAATAAACACGTTGTCGTACACAGGCTCACGAACTTTATTTTTTAACAAAATAAATACGTACAAAATGATCTGGAACACTTTAAAGTAGCATGGCGCCTTTACAGTAAAATCAGGATTAAAAACCGACACGCAGGATAAAACCGCTTTAAGAGTTCATGTGCAAATGAAAAAGGTGAATACTGACAGTAAACATCCACTTCAGCTCCTGTGACGTCTCCAGGAACGACTCACAAGGCGTTTCGTTGAACACTTTGGGATGAAATGAACGTGTTCTTCCACTTTCATTGTGCTGATCTTTCCACCCGTCTCTGGAAATGCATCCTGGTACTTACTGAGCATTCTCAGTCGTTTCAGCAGGTTACCATAAAAAAAACAAGACAGACAACATAATGTGGAATGACTAACTTTAGTCCAAAGTGAGCTTAATGGCAGAGGCAGTGCATTCAGAGCTGAGGAAATCTGAAGTCCAGCATGTGAGGAAAGACTTTCACCCCCACTGACACCCGGTGCTCGGCTCCTGCAGGATCCCGCAGGGCCCGTAGAAGTACCCAGAGGAGGACGGGGCCAGGCCGCCCAGCTGCCGGATGGACTTGCACATTGGGCAGGGGTACTCGGACAGACCCTCGATGTCCTCAAAGGCCATGTTGACGATCTGGTCGCAGCAGGGGCTGCAGTAGAGGTGTCCGCACGAGAGGCGCTTGAGCCGCACCTCGTAGGTGATGCAGCACTGACAGTGCGGCAGGTCGGGCCCCAGCGACAGGGAGCCTGTCAGGGAGCTGCTCTCCAAGCTGCCAGCCTGGCTGGAGCTGAGCTTAGCAGGAGACCTGGGGAGAGACGGGATTAACACTCATTCATGGAGTCCCTCAGGGATGTATCCTCAGTCCCATAACGATCTCACTTCAGATGGCCTGCTGATATAAATGATCAACAGTTAAAGTTTAATTCAGCCGTTTTCTCAGAACATAAGAACCAGCTTTTTGAAGGTTATTATGGACTGTTATCATTTAAAATATTTTTTTTGTTTTAAAGTCTTGAGGTTTTAGGCCTGAATAACCCAGTTACCATCACTTAACCTAAAATTTCATCTTTGTACTTAAATGTGATGGTTTCAGAGCTGGTTTATTCCAGCTGGGAGTCAATGTGAGGTAAAATGTTTTCTGTTAACAGATTATGAAAATCAATGTGGGCCTGGAATTCATTTAGCTGGAAGTGAGATGAAATCTTTACATTATTATGGTTTCCTGCTCATTTTGGGTCCTTTTCAGGATTTTATGATGCGTTTTTAAGGTATTAAATGGCTATGCAGTGGATAAAAATATCATAAAAACCTCACAAATGCTTGATTCCCAAACCCATCTATACATTTGTTTTGTTCCTTTACCCCGACTGACTGAATGATGGCCTCCATTTATTTTTCCAACTTTGTTGCAACATTCTTTCATTCTATTTTTCCACAAAACGTTTAAATCTTATTTAGATAAAATAGTATTTTGTTTCCCTTAGCCATTAACCTGGGTTATGTGGGGTTCCTCTAGGCTCTGTTATTGGACCGCTATTATTCTACATCAAGAAGAAACTCTGATCCCCCAGCCAATCAGAGCTCTTAACACATATTGTCTATTAAAAAAAAGAAACTAGTTCATAACATCAAATTTATCATCTTGAATAATAGGAACGCTCTCCTAATCTTACCATGCGACCACTTGTGTTTTGCCATCTTGATGCATTAAATTTATTTTAATGGCATTCTGTAATTTTTACAATAATTGTATTGTAGATTGTTTTGTGTTGCTTATATTTGACCAAATATGTAGAGTTAAGTTCACTTTAACTTTCCTGAGTTTTTATAACCTTTTGTTTCTTTTCAGCAAAACAAATTTTAAATTGATCCAATAATAACGGATGAAAAAGCCAGAAGGAAAATTCTGGCACATTTGCAGCAATGTTAGTTAATGTGTGTTGTTCCTGCCACATTAATATAAAAACAAACTTCAAATCATCCGTTTACAGTGTCATCATATTTAATGTCTCATGTAACTAAATGCTCACAATTTAAAATGGAAAAATTTTGCACAGACTCCCCAAAGCTGTTATCACACACAGCTCTACGTTTCTGTGCTTCAGTCCTTTACAGTCGTAATATCAAGGATGAGTTGTTGAAGTCTCAGACGTACGTCTTTAAGGACATTACTAGAGATAAATTAGGAAGTATGTTACAGGTAGTGATATCTAAATATATCATCCTTTAAGTAACGATTGCATTTATCTACAGAGATGGGAGTTTAATGCAGCAGTTCACCTGCTGATGTCGCCTCATCACTGATACCAAACATCTGGAAATGTTTGAGACGACCAGGCAGAAACTGCTGAGCAGAACCAGGTTTTCCATCTCAGTTTTCCAGAATAACAGGTTCACTTGATGTAAGCCAAGGTAACTCTGGGAGCAAATGTGTTCCTGCATTTTCAATAGACATCAGATATTCTGATTGATCAAAAATTGATTTTTGATGCATAAGTTAACTTTACAGTGGGCTGCTGAAACGACTATGATACCTTTTAATTTCTTGATACAAATTTAGAGTTACTTGAAGATTTCCGGTGCAGAACGGATTCTCTGCTTTAAATCAGAATAAATCCATTTGGACGATGAGATGTGTTGTAAATTTTATCAGTAACCAACAGAATCCTTGAAGTGAGCTGAACGTGTCTTCTCTCATGTTTAAATGCCTCTAACATTTTGGTCAATGTCGTCTTGCAGAAAAGGACGTTGAATCATAGAATTAGCCTGCAGGTGATGGTGACTTTTCTCCAGTGCTGAACGTGACCCATCATGTTTGTCTTCAAGTTGATTTGGTTAAAACCTAACTGGTCAGACCTGAAATGAGGCCAGTCTGGGTGGAGTTAAAGGCAGATTGCACAACCGTAAACAGACTGTTGACAGTTATATGCGTTTAGGTGTGGGCCTGGATGTTTCTGTGTGTTTCTTCCATGAAAGGCTGCAACCTGTTAGAAACAACATCTGAACATTCTGGGTCATTGCTTCTGTGCAGGATTAAGGCTAAATGTGAATATTTCTGGCTGGATTTCTGCATGATGCAGGCCGTAACTTAAGATTTGATTCAATTTAGGGACAGAAAGTGGCTCCATGATGCAGAGCTGGAGAAAATGAGAGCATCCCCTGACTTAGGAAACCTGTTGTCACTGCAGCTGAGAAGTGGGTGCCATATTTCCTCTTAGTGTTTAGAAGTGAATCATTTTCCACGTCCTGTGCTGACATTTAAACGGTTCAATGGTTATTTTTAAGCAGTGAAATATGGTCATTTAAAGCTCTTTGCATGAGGTGGACAGAGTTACGCAATAAAGGATTATCTTTAAAAAACGGAACAAGAGGCTGAATATCCATATTTGGGACTAAAAATATGAGCGAGCACTGGAAGCGACCAGAAACTGGTTTTGTTTTGTTTTGTTTTGTTTTTAGCAGCAGACGCCCACCAGCTGCAGCCAGCTGGATGGTTCCGGCCATTTCAGCCCGAATTCAAAGGCAAAATCAGGTGGATTACTGATGATGATGATGGGTTGGGGGTCTCACCGTGATGAAGATGAGTCTTTGAAGCAGTCGAAGCTGAGCGCAGTGAGGATCCTCCACAGCAGATCCATGCCGGTTGCTCTCATGGTAACATCCAGAATCCAGCGAGCTGCTTTCCGACGAGCGTCATGTTGGACAAAAACAGCGCCGAGCCTCTTTAAATGAGGACGCACGGCGGCGCCCCCACTTCCTGAGGAGGAAACGACCCGATCCGCCCCCCCTCCCCTTCCTAATGTTTCCACTGACAGGGATGAAGAGGATGTGCGCTCATCTTCATCATCATCTGCTGGTATTTCAGGAGAGGAACACAAAGCGCCGCTTTCTTTCTCGACCTCTCTGGCGCCTCAACACTTTCTTCTGGCGTCTTCCTCCTCCTCCTCTTCCTCCTGCTCCTCCTCCTCCTCTTCCTCCTGCTCCTCCTCTTCCTCAGCAACAGCAGGGGGAGGAGGCAAAACTGAGGTGCTTCAGTTGCATCACGCGTCTCTTTTACCAATGAGCTCAAAGAGCAGCAGGAAGTCCATAAAATACACAAAGACCCTCATGTGCCTTTTTTTCTTTTTCTTTTTTTAACTTAAGATATTTTAGTCTAATTTTTCACAGCTGCGCACATTTTAGTCAAACCATTTTTTTTCTTCAACTAAAACTGATCCCGGCTCTTTAGTGTAACATATTACACTGAAATTGAATCTAAAAATCCCTGAAAAATTTTAATTAAATAAATATATAAAATTTTTTTAAAACTTCAGTTTATTTAGCTTTGCTAAATAATTCTGGAGTAATTTAAGGGGAAAGAAATTTGTGTACTAACGTAACATTTGTAACTATAGTTATTAATATTCAGAACATAAATAAAGTGTCGGATAAAATGTGAATTAAATGGGGATCGGAAGAGTAAGACAGGAGAAAGATTAAATCTGATCCCTAACAGACTCCAGCCAATTATTAGCGCTTTCTCTAATCTGACCACTAGATGGCGACAAAATACAAACTGAAAGTAAATTTAAAGCGAGTTAGTTTCTCAAACGTTTCTTCTTCTCTGTGTCGGAGCCTTTAAAGGACCAGAAAACCTCCGACTCAGTGAAAACCTCACTGGGCAGCGGAGTGATGAAGAGCTGCTGCTTCATCACAACGTCCACAGCTGCAGATAAGAGCTGACGGAAGCTCTCATTGTTAAACTGGGTCTGATTGGGTTACTTTGTACAGGAAATTAAAGTGAGACACGATGAGCGTGAAAGGGCAGCTAAACAGGAAGCTGCTGTAATACAGAGAATCACTCCATGAAAATAAACCAGAACAATGAAACTTCACTGAACCCAGATGCTGATAATGAGTCACCAACCTGTAGATTAGATGTTACAAAGTATTTTATTAAACAGAACTATAACCCAGTCAGCATGCCTAAGTGGGACCCATGTGGGGGAAAGGAGGGCTG